TTACTCAATAACTTGATTTTAAATTCTTGTGAGACAAAAAAACTTAGGACAGCTTTTTAGGGGTATTTCATTCATCTATAGCAATATGTTTTTTGTGTTTTTTTTGTTTGCTCACATGTACGTGAATAAAATATTTTAATGTGTTTTTAGTACAATTGTTAAGTATTGCTCCCATGGATTTGTATACTGATGAGGAATAAAGGACTGAAAAGTTGGAACCTGGATTACCAGCTTAAGAACCTTTATAGGCAAACTTGTCTTTTTAGTTTCTGTGAGGCTATCTGGCACATTATTATTATTATCAGTTCAATACAATATCACACTTTTTATGTGCTGTAGTGGTGTGGTGCTCTGAGTGTTCCTTTAATATTTAATAGGAACTGATATGCTCTGGATTGAATGATCAATTTGGTAGAATTACAATTAAATTGAAATATTTTGCGATTTTCACTAAATTTTGAAAATCTGGGGACTGTTTAGAGCTTAGTGAATAATCCTGTAGGGTTTATTGACTAAATAGCACACTGCAAAATGTATGCCAAAATAATTTATTTGGAAAAACCTCCAACATATCTGTAGTCACAGCTTGAATTTTGTGATTGAATTTGGTGTTTAGTAAAAATAAAGCCCTGTGTGTATTCTTCATACTGAGCAAACTCATAAAACAAATGGATGTTTCCTGAACTTTAATTGTTTGAAATATCCTGATAATACGTATTGAAAACCTTAAAAAGATTTTGTTATGGGAAGGATAATATAATGAACTTGCTGCTCTGCATATAGTATCTCTTTAAATGCAAACAATGTTCTTCCATATCTTAATAGACATCCTTTGCTGTTGTCCAGCCTTGAGTAGAGTGCGAGGGTAGAAAAGATGTGTGTGATTGTGTCTGTGTGTTTTGTAAAGAGATAACTTTTTCCCAGATTGGTGTAAAGCCTGAGAATATGTTGGAGTAATCAAGTTCTGTAATCACACAATTTCCTCTAGTTCTTAATGGGATATACATCCTAAAAATAGACAAGGGGCCATTAAACCTTTCATGCCCTCTTAGTGTCCAAAGTGAATAACTCAAAACTTAAATAAATCATCTTATTAGGACAAGGGAATCCAGATGGGATCTGAATGAGAAGAAACAATAAACTGCATGTTTTCATGCCGGCTTCAGAAAACGTGTCTGCTCTATTGTGGGAAGAGACATTCTGAAAATCTTCCCAAAGCAATCTGCACACATCTTTAAATAGTACAGTTGCAGTCAGAATAGAATAATAAAGTTATACCCAGTAGTAAAAAGACCAAAACCACACCCTGGCACCATCCTTCTCCTGGTAGAGATTGTCTTAATTGTATAATACATAACATATATCTGAATCAGAGGAATATAAAGGGCAAGCCGGCAGAATCTAAGCATTTCATATTTATAGAATGTGACGGCAGATAAGAACCATTCGGCCCATCTAGTCTGCCCAATTTTCTAAATGCTTTCTATTAGTCCCTAGCCTTATCTTATAGTTAGGATAGCCTTATGCCTATCCCACGCATGCTTAAACTCATTTCCTGTGTTAACCTCTACCACTTCAGCTGGAAGGCTATTCCATGCATCCACTACCCTCTCAGTAAAGTAATACTTCCTGATATTATTTTTAAACCTTTGTCCCTCTAATATTTGAGGCCCCATTTACTTATAAACAGTCATGGATTGGATACCGCAAATTGACATATAGAGAGGAAAATATCTTAAATGAAGAGGTTTTCAAACAAGCTTCATAATTACAATAAAGGACATTACAAATCATATGGAATTGGATGGTGCAAAGTGATAAAATGTATGATAAAACAAATAAAGCATACAATAATATAATGCAATTAAAATTTACAAAGAAGACTGTAATGGGACTTGGATTGGATTACCAGAGTCAAAATGTTTGATTTATATCCCATTCCCAATCCAGAATTTATCCTGTTTCATGGTTTGTTTCTATTGTGGTTGCTAAATATCACCCGTACGTTATTGTTACTACCAACAGCTGGTGGAAATGTTTGCCCAGAAAATGCTGGAAGGTTTCCAAACTTCAGGCCCTTCCCTTGTTTTGCAGCCTATTGTTCGTAATGCCCAACCTCAGATACTGGTTTACTGTTTACCCATTAAACTGTTTACCCACGACGAGACTCAAACTACGCATTTCCCTGCTTCATTATCCACAATTGGATGATATAAAAGGTGCACCTTACACATGCACACGTTATCTGCGATTGTCTAAGTACACTGGTTGCGATAATTCCACAGGTCTCAGGGAATCCAAGTGCTCTAGTGGAATAATAGAGGCCAATATCCAGAAAAAGATGTTGAGCTAGAGTATTACTATGTGTATCTAGTAAGTATATATCTCACCAGTAAACCTTCATAAAAATCATCTGAAAAGATACATATATAGACAATATAGTGCAGACCATCTGATTTTAAAATATTCTTGTAGTGCACACTTAAATAGAAAATTGGGAGTTCACACTCACATTTCCCAGAGCCTAATGAACCCTGGCTCTGGGTGGGATAAGCTGGGATAACCTAGAGCCAGGGTTCCTAGAATGCATCAGTAGCTGTTATATACAGGACTACCTGTCATGCAGACTAATCAGGTACTGTTTGAACACCCTCTGGAAATCATGAAACATATGCTAGAGTTGACTGTCAACTGACTGCAATTTACTGTTTAGAAAAAAATAGTATCTTGCACCAAAGTCTGTCTCTCTCTCTTTCTCCCCTTTTTCCTTTATGAGCTTTAACTCAGCTTTCATCTATTTTCCTCACAGTTATTCCAAGCTGTCCAGCACTATTTTTATTTATATATCAAGATTGGGGAGTCAGCTCTCCACCTAGCTGATTAGACATCTCCCATAATTGTTGCAGTTTATGACGAAGTAAGTCATGGCTATGTATTTAGTACAATATAGAACAATATGGTAAGTTAAGAGCTACCTAATACCCCTGATGTAAATTTACATGGTAAAGGGGGCAGGGCACAAATCCATATCAATGAAATTTAGCTGGCCCTTCTACACATATCAGATCCCACCACAGTCACTCAAATCCACCCAACTTATTTTCCAAATTACAAAAAAATTGTATTATTATTCATAGAAATAATGTTAGTTTACAGTTTTTAATAGGATATAGGGGGGGCATAGAGGACAAAATATAGGGATGTTATTACATATTTTTCCTGGAAACAGCAAGATTTGGGCTCCTCTGGACTCACAAAGAGTTATTCTTCAGCACTCAGGAAAGGAAAGAACCGCTTGTGGAGCAAACATCTGTAGAACCATGCCCTTCCCTCTAGGCATTAATAGCAAAAACAAGAGAAGGTCTATGGAAAGCACGGGCAGGGCCGGATTAACATAGGGGCTGATGGAGCTGCAGCTCCAGGCCCAGGCCCATGGAATAGGCCCATTGATTTTTTTAAATAATAAAAAAAAAAATTCTTTCTTTATTTTTTTTACACACTACTATTAGGGTTGCCAGGTATTTCTCATGTATTTCTTATGGTTGCCAGGTATTTCTTAGACGTATTTCTCAGGTATTTGAGGCTGCCTAGCCAGTACCGGCAATACAAATGTCTATCTCAGTATAAACAGAGATTATTCTGCAATAACAGCGCCAGCCAGTAGGGGTCGCTGTTTGTGTGGAGAGAGGCAGGGATAAGAAGTTACAGCATCTGCCTCTCTCTACTCCCTGATCAGCGGGGGAGCAGCTCTACATAGAGAGTCCAGACAGCAGCTACGAGCCTGCGAGACATGGGGACGATAAGAGACTTGGGGACACTGAGACATTGGGACACTGGTAGACATAGGGACACTGCAGAACATGGGGACCCTGAGACACTAGGGACACAGTGGCCCCATGTCTCCCAGTGGCCCATAATCTCTGTGTCCCCATGTCTCCCAGCCAGTGTCCTCATGTCTCCCAGTGTCCCTGATGTCTCTTAGTGTCCCCATGTCTCTTAGTGTCCCCATGTCTCTGTCTCCATGTGTCTGTGTCTCCATGTGTCCCTGGTGTCTCTCAGTGTCCCTAGTCTCTCAGTGTCCCATGTCTCTCAGTGTCCCCATGTCTCTCCCAGTGTCTCAGTGTCCCCATGTCTCCCAGTGTCCCAATGTCTCTAAGTGTCCCCTAGTGTCCTAGTGACATCGGGACACTGGGAGACATAGGGACACAGACTCTAAGGGAAACTGGGAGACATGGGGACATTTTTACAAACCCCAAAATACAACATATCCCCACAAAAGTCATACCCTTATAGTCCCAATCTGAGTGAACAACATATCCAAAAATCACCCAGATCAGTTCAGGGGTTCAGGAATTTCCTGGAAGTCTTATTTTTGCTAGGGGACACTGGGCGACAAATACTAGGGGACACTGGGCGACATGTGGACACTGAGACACTAGGGGGCACTGAGAGACATGAGGACACTGGGCGACTTTGAGCCCTGGGAGACATGGGGCACTCCCAGTGTCCCCATGTCTTCCAGCCAGTGTTCCTAGTATCTCAGTATCCCCTTGTCTCCATGTCCCTGGTGTCTCTCAGTGTCCGCAGTGTCCGCAGTGTCTCAGTGTTTCCTAGTCTCCCAGTGTCTCAGTGTCCCAATGTCCGCTAGTGTCACCTAGTATAAAATAAATCTCAGGCACTCACTGTGATATATTTAAGTCTAGTGAGCAATCAGAGAGAAGTTGTTATATTTCTACTCCTGTCTCTATTCTGCCTGTGAATACCTTATGACTTAATAATTACTCAATCATTTCTAGTTCACAGAGAGATTTTTCACTTATTTTTTTAATTCTTCAAGTTTATTCAAGACAGGCATTAGATAAGAGCAGTAGACAGGGGCTGCAATCTGAAACAAGTTACCCCATAAAAATGAGGGTTAAAGCAACTGTAGCTAATTAGTATCCTCTTTATGCTCTCTCCGTTTTGCAACAAGATTGCAACACTGTGATAATACAGAAGCCCTAACCTGACAGCTATCTGACTCAGTTTCTTCACTCAAACTGTCTCCTATATTGAATTGCATTAACCAAAATTAGGAGAAGAGAGATTGCAACAATTTGTAATTACAAACAACCTTCTACTAGTTCTATATTACCATATTGTAGAATCAATGACATCAGCCATCTGCTCCCTGTATCCTAGACACCTACTCAGTGTGATATAAGAAAATCCAACTCCTGATAGAGACCTCACTCAATAAAGTCAGAGATTAGGACAATTGGACGACTTTATATTCTTTATCTGTTTCTGCATATATCATCTATTTTTCTGAGTAGGTAGAGGTATAGCCAGTTGGCTTTGGATTTGCTATCTGACCATTAATATAAGTGGTGTGCAGCGTTCTATCAAAGAGCATACATTTCCCCATCTTGTGTTTCTTTGCAGCTAACACGGACATTCAGAGTCTTTTAGCTCTGGAAATAGTAGTTATTATTACGGTGTGATAGATTTAAGCAGATTTATTGGACACCGCAACGTTTCAACCTGTAACTAGGTCTTTATCAAGTCTCCAGTGTGCCCTATGTATCACAGTGTCCCCTGTGTATCAGAGTTTCTCAGTGCCCCATGTCTCCCAGTATCCCTGGTGTGTTTCAGTGTCCATAGTGTCTCAGTATCCCCTAGTCTCCCAGTGTCCCCATGTCTCACAGTGCACCCAAGTGTCTCAGTGTCCCCTAGTATAAAAGAAAAAAGTCTCAGGCACTCACTGTGCTAGATTAGGGCAGGTTTATTGGACACCGCAACATTTTGACCTGTACCCAGGTCTTTATCAAGTCTCCAGTGTTCCCTATATATCAGTGTCCCCTATGTATCACAGTGTCTCAGTGCCCCATGTCTCCCAGTGTCCTCTCATGTCTCAAAGTTACCCAGTGTCCCCATGTCTCCCAGTTTCCCCAAGAGTCTCAGTGTCCCCAGGTCTCTCGGTGTCCCAATGTCTCTCAATGTCCCCTAGTGACATAGGGACACTGGGAGACATGGGGACACAGACAGCGTGGGTATGTGTTTTCTCATAGCTGCATCCTATGAGTGTCCCTCCAGCACCATCTCTATCAGATACATGACGCTTAGGAGGTAGGACTGTTTTAGTATTTTTGGTCAATAAAATTTTGGAACTAGGCCCATCATAATTGTCAGCACCAGGCCCACTGGGCTCTTAATCTGGCCCTGAGCACGGGTGGCTAACTTTATAAGCTATTTAATTTGATATATAGAAAGACAGACAAATAGACATGCAAACTGACAAACAGATACATATATGCTAAGTAATTTTCAGCTCACTCTTTTCCTTCTCTATTGCAATTTTTCCAACACAGAACATTCAAGGCTCAAAATGATGTTTAACCCCTTAAGGACACATGACGGAAATATTCCGTCATGATTCCCTTTTATTCCAGAAGTTGTGTCATTAAGGGGTTAAACCTTCACAAATTAAATTGAAGGATCCCTACCCCAAAAAAATAAGAGACCCTGATTCTCATCCCCCTTAGACAAACACAAGTATTTGATAAAAAATATCAAAATATAATACTCCCATGTATAAGTCAAACTGATGGAAGTCAAGCTTCAAGTCTTTGGACACTTCCATTTGAGACTTAGGTCTCTAAACCTTTGAGATGGTAAGACACATGGATACAGAATTAAGCTCCTTCAAAGCCTCAGATGCATCTGAGAGGAAATAGATGTTCAAGTGATTATACAAACATTTACATTTATGACATCACAGCATGGCAATTTCTTGGGATTTCACTGCTAAGGATCACTGTATGTCAGGTAAATATTAATTGTATTTCTTATCTCACATATTGTTAGTTTTAATACAAATGAGTGGAGCACAAACCCATATCAATGTAATGTATCCTGCTACTACAATGATTCTCTTATCTGGATTTTTTAAAGGGAAATGATATTAGCCTATTCCCATACAACATGACTGATACAAGGATTTGTTGATTGATAAATTATCTACAGTAATGTAAAGAGCCGGTGTTACCTTAAGGCAGCACAGACGGCAGGGGTGAAAAATGTGCCCTGCTGTTCCATGCAAAGGAGAACCTTTATGACCATGTGGGTTAATAAGTGTGTAAGGGTTTAGAAAAGCACCCCTCTCTGTCTCATTAGAGATTTGGCCTCAAATCAACAAGGGGAATTGTTATTCTAGGTTTTGCCTTGACGTGGCATGTGAGCTTACACTTTAATGTCCATTGGAGTGATACTAAAAACCTCCAGTTATTTAAATCTGCCTATGGATTTGGTACAAAGAAACCGAATTGGCTGTTACCAAGCAAACCTCGTCTACAGTTATTCAGTAGATTCTATTCAGGAATTGGCAACCTTTGGCACTCCAGATGTTTTGGACTACACCTCCCATAAAGCTTTGCCAGCATTATGGGTGTAAGAACATTATGGGTGCTGTAGTCCACAACATCTGGAGTGCTGAAGCTTGCCTATCCCTTTTCTATGACATCAATTTGTCAAGGATTACTATTTTATATTGTGAGAAGTAAGCACACAATGCTGTGATAATAAACACTCTTTTTTTATCAAGCACCTTGATGAGTTGCTATCAATTAGAATAATACAGTGGCTTTGGAGTCACACGAGAAACTAATATCCTGGCGAACCATCTAAACCACTTTAGAAATCTCAGCTTACTGTGAATGAGCCACAATGTTTGGACTAGTCATTGTCATTGAGATGGTCTGGTATAAAAAGTTTTGGTCTCTCTAGCGTTAAGATGACCTCTGTTAGGACATACATTTGCAGAGTTAGTTGCTCTTCCATTGATGGTTTTTAATGTGCAGATGACCAGCACAGAGAGAAATTTACAAGTGACTTTCAGCAGAAGTACTTAGAGAAAATGCACACTCAGCAAATGGCAAATCACGAGGGACTGATATATCTGCTCCACAGATTTATTTCTCTTTTAATATTGTATCGTCCTGTAGTACTTTATTTTTAAGGATTGGAAGGTTATGAAACATGATTTTAACACATTAACTTCTATGACCTTTTGAAACCTTTTAAAAACTTGAATTCACCGACTGAGCTATAAATACAATAAGTTGATATACAAATATATGAATGCCATGGGATATATTCAACATAATACAAACAATATTAGGATTTACTGTTTCATCGTGAGCGGAAAATAAAAGTATAATACAATGCACAACAGACTTTTGCAGCACTGGAGTAGGAAGCAACCCTAGAGGTTGTCTGAGTGACTGCCACTAGAGGTGTCCTTAGGGAGCAATGTAAACACTGCCTTTCCTCTGAAAAGAAAGCGTTTACATTGAAAAGCCTGCAGGGACAGTGATTCTGGTGACTGTAGTGTCCCTTTAACATACTGAACACTGGTAGAGTCATTTAACTCTACTATTACTTTCTTCCATAAAGAATGAACTCAAAGTCTCATTCTAATTTTCTGCTGGTCTAATGGCTGTCAAAAATGACCAAATTACCTCCAAAAGGAATCTGCCTCAACTCTATATGCTTAAGGAGACACTCCAAACACCATTTGCACTTCAGCTTATTGTAATGGGTATGGTAAGGACACTCCATTATCAAGTGATTTTACAAAAAAGAAAAATAACATTCCCTTGTACTCAAAGCCAAAATCCTCAGCTTTGAAGCCTGTTTTAACTACTTGGTAGTAAAAAAAAAAAGGTTTGAAGTATCAGTGGAAATATTTCTTAAACATACAGTTATGTTGGGTACGTGACATGGAGAGTGGAAGTAATGCCCCAGGCTTAGCGCTGTAGTGGCTATGTATATTGCAAACTGTCATACTTTGTCATTTTTTGCAGCTGTACATACAGAAAATCAAAGTGAATAAATATGCTGAGAGCACTTAAAAGCATATATTACATGATATTAACCCTTTCAGTCTCAAGGCAGAGAGCAGCTGGATATTTGGTGTAACTGTGTTTACTGCTTGTGGAAATTACAGAATTTACATATTAGAAAGTTGCTTTCGAGGAAATGTAGGATCAGATAAGCAGACTTTTAAACTATTAGTATTTATCGGCTTTGTTACGACTACTGAATGTGAAAATGGCAATTTTGCTTTATTCCAGATATTCCAGCCCCTTTCTGAAATATTGTAAGATAAGAAATACTATAACATTTCTTTATATATGCTTCCCATGGGAACATAAATACAGAAACATAAAATGCTCTAAAATGATTTATTCTTCCTCAACAATTTGACTGGGTTGTTAAACTTATAGGTCCAGGGCTGGGTATAACCATACTAAGACCTAAATTTAATATTGTTAGACAATCTTTTCAAATAATTTAACATTTCTGATTAAACTTTCAATTATTTAATATTATGAAAAATATAAAAATTTTGTAATATTTAGATTTTTTTTCATTATAATGATGAACTTTTTATGTATGATATATATTCTTTTTGATATTTTAAAATTGCGAGCTTCTGATTGGGATTTTGATAGAATCCCTATACAGACTTCCTATAGTTTCCAATAATCAATTGAAACTAACTTCATAACAATTCCCTGAGCTGCATAGCTCTCTTATATGTGTCACAACTACTCTGCTAATGACTTATGACGCTCCTTGGTTTGCACTCACATTGCCAACTTCTGTGTTCTAGACCTCTCTAAGTCTGCAGTTTCACACCTAACATCGGGAAGCATTAAAACCTCACTTCTTTAGGAGGATATATCAACTCACCAATTAACTTCTCTCCCTTGCTGCATTCATTCTCTTGTGTTCATTTACCCCTATTGCTTCAGACTATGCTGTCTATAGAGTTTTACTTACTTTGACTATGCTGACAATATACACAGTTTTACTCTCTCTGTACTTTTATTCAGTTTTGTTTAGATCATAAGCTTGTCATCGCTATCTCTTGTTCCTGGATTTGTATTTCTTGCAAACTGTTGAACAGCACTGCAGGAAATATTGTCACGCAATAAAAAGGTTAATAATAAGCTATTTTTTTTTGCTAGACCAGGGTTACCCAAAAGGTAGATCCCCAGATGTTGTAGAACTACCACTCCCATGATGCTTTGCATGCATTTAGCATTTCTTAAGAATGACAAAGCATTGTGGAAGCTGTAGTTTTAAACCATCTGGGGATCTACCTTTTAGGCACCCCTGTGCGAGACTATCGACCGTAACCAAAGGGGTCTTATTCTCAATCAGATCTGCTCATTTCTAACAAATTTTTTGACTAATGGTGAACAATATTTTAGGGGAGTAGGTGTGTGTGAGAGTGCATTCATTTTTTTTTTTACTAAAGTAGGAATTGTTTGGAATTCAAAGTTAATTTAAAGTG